TTCTATTTTCAAAGAAGTGCAAAAAAGAATACGTCACTCTTATGCGACGAATTCTAGCAGGTATAACCTTCGTAGACGTGATGTCAAATATCACGTTGGTGATAAAGTCTGGAAGAAAAATTTTGTCCTATCAAAAGCTGTCGATGATTTCTCTGCAAAACTAGCACCAACATTTGTCCCTTGTATTGTCAATAAAGTTTTGTCTAAATTAGTCTACAATTTAAAGGATATAGATGGAAATGATCTTGGAAATTTTCATGTCAGGGATATCAAATTAGATGTCACTGATTCTAGTGACGATGAAAATCAGTAATGCATATTAAAAATATATCTTTTGAGTAAAACTTGCAGTTATACTATTATATCTTACCTTTAAGTGTAATTTAAACTTGCATATATCTTGTATTGCATATATTTTAAATTATCTTCTTATCTCTTTTGTTAAGCTTATACATATTTTTTATTACCTGCGTTAACAAATATCTTCGTTATTTATGGACTTTTCAATAAAATATTTCGTTATGAGAACCTTTGCTAGAAAATTTATCTACTATCTTTCACAAGTTTGATTGTTATTTACTTTTCTTTATCTTCGTTTAATAACACATTATCTATTACCTTTGCAAGTTAGCTACTTGTATTACCTTTATAGTGTTATTAAAACTATTGCGGTAATAACTTATGTCTAATTTTCATACCTAGTTCAAGTGTCTTGTTTTTCCGTTAAATGGGTTCAAATATGAGATTTGTTCGAGCAAGCACATAAAAATTGCCTAGGATGATTTATCTTCGCGGGACTTGAGGTCACTGCAGGAAAACTATTAACAAGGGCGTTAATATTTTCCATTTACCCATTAGGGGTGTTGCGTTAGGCATAATTCTTTATCTTTTGGAGTGAAAGTAATCTTATGCATATATCTTCTTTTAATAGAAACCTCTGGTGTAAGATTATGAAGCTTTGAAGTTTTTGATTGCATTTGAATTGTCTTTAACATTTTAAATACATACGTCTATATTTATGCAGTTCTAGTTCTATTTCTTTTGTGTAGATCCCTGGATAGTGTTTAGTGTTATAGCAATTTTATATGATATTACCACAACTTGTCTTATCTTTGCTTTGTATTTTCCTTTATCATAAGTAAGCCAAATTTTATGCAGTATCTTTAATTTCTTTTGTGTAGAACTTTGACTTACTAGGTATTGTGAAGAATATACTTATCTTTATCTAACAATCAAAATTACTTGTGTTACTTAATTATCTTGATATTTACCTACCTTTAATTTTTGATACTATTTGGTACAAAAATTACTTTATCTTATACTAGCTTAATGTTAATTTGCTGTTTTATTGACTTGCCTTAGTCCATAAATATGCATATGCAATATGCCGAGAATTCATTCTCATTATCTTATCTTTAATAAACAATGTAATTGTTTCCAGACCATACTGTCTATTAAAGTTTAGTCATAATAAGTTTCTCTGATTTAGTTGACAATGATTGACCTCATCAATGCATAACTATAATGAATTTTCTTTTTCTTGAGTGTTATATTTTAATGAAATTTTTTTATTGCATTTGCAAGGTAGATTTAACCTTATGTATACTACTATTTAGAAATCTGGTGTAGGGTTGTGTCTCTTTGAAATGACAATGGAAAGGTTTTGTTTTTTATACTCTCTTGTATAACTTTGCTCTATACAATTTTTCTGTATAGATTACTTTATTATTCTAACAGGTGCATAACGTTTGGATATAAATCAAAGTATATTTATGACTAATTTTTCTTCTTCAGTTCAACTGAGTATAATTTTGTGCAATTTTCTTTTCATCTTGTGTAAATTTTATACTTAGTAGATGTCTAGATTGGTCTTACTAAATTTTTATTTATTTCTTTTATATTTTGACGTTTACCTTATCTTTCTTAACTGCTTATAATGTTCTACTCATACTATCTCATGCAATGCAACTAAAATCTAGATTAGTATTATGATAACTAATATTTGGATTTATATACCTACTGCATTACTGATGATTATGATATCTTATCTTTTATAACTTAATGATTATATGCATATCTAGTGATATTGCTAATATCATAATTACCTATGTTTAAAATTAGCTTCCCTTAAGAACTAACATTCTTGAAAGAATGTCTTTCTAACGATGTTTATCTACATGAGTGATAGATACATCGTCCCCATATTAGTTGTTGTTGTATGATATATATGTAATTACATATATATGGGACCGAACTGTGGTGGAGATGTACATTTATACCACTGGATCTTCCTTTAATGGTAAGGTTGTCTTTAGGGTATGGCGTCGGGGGGTTCATAGTACACAGGACTGTCGTCTGTGAGGAGCGCTTTCGAGGTTTAACCATGGATTATGGGCTACTGCGTTCATACCAACATGATTTCAATCGACCCAGTGTATAATCGATGTACAGTACCAAAGGTTGCGGATAACCCTTAATGTAGCTTTTCTCCCTCTTGGTATACGACCAATTTTAGTGTGACGAATACTACAATTCGTTGGGATAAAATATTTCCCTGAGTATTAACTCTAAAGCCTTGTAAGGAATTGCTATAAGGTATAGCATAGGATTATTTACCTTACAATTTTAGTGTGACGAATACTATAATTCGTTGGGGATGAAATAATACCCAGAGTTCTCACTCTAAAGTCATTTAGTGTATATAGTATTACAATACTGTAATACATAGTTTATAATTATGTAGTTAAAATTTTAGTTTAACGGATATTATAATTCGTTGGGTGATAGTCATTTATTTTTTGACTTAGGTTAATATAAGTATATTAATTTTTATATCTTATAACAAGTTAACCATTTTCACTTTATTTTGTTTAAATAATAGTATCTAAACTTACAAGTTAATATACCTATATCTAGGTATCTAGATAACTTTATTATTTGGTAAAGATTACCTTTATTATTATTTTGATGATCATAACATATAATGAGTTTAGTGATGAGAAAAATTTCTCAATGTACTTTCGAAATTTTTCTACCGGGTGGTGGAAGTGTGTAGCGTTATAACTGCTACATTGCCTGCTTCCTTTCTTATGTTAATATATTTCGTTAATTCTATTCTCCAATTTCCGTATCTTCTGTCATAATTCATATTCTTCTATATCCTCCATTGTATCTCTTATTTTTCTATATATTTTCTAGGATATAGATTGTATCAGAATTATGTCGTTACTTAATTAATTCATTATTCTCTTTTCATTTTTACTGGTATTTGGTATAAAAACCAGTTGGCGTCCAAATCTATCTTCTTTATATATATTTTAGTATCTACCTTTCCTATTTTCTTAATAATCATCATTTTTATCTTTTACTCAAGTTTCTAAAGAGTGAATTTTATTTTCATCTCTATTTCCGTTACTTTGGAACGAGAGGTCCCATCTTTATTCTCTGTGATATTTCTCCTTCCCGTTCGATACAAAAGTCCATATAATCGCTTTTTTTCTGAAAAGGTCGATTTTCTTCATGACTTCTCTAAGAGTAGAATAACCAATTGTTGTGTCGTCTCCAGATTTGGAGTCAACCTCCGGGATACATTTCTCAGGTGCGGGTCAAATTTTATTACCATCCAGAAGACCAACCGGCCTGAGAATGGAACCATTATTCCAATAGGAGAGTTGACTCCGAGACAAGGAAATCCAAAACTAACCACATGGCTTGCTAACAACCAGAGCAGAAAAGACCAGAAAAAAACTTAGGATTTGGTGACAAAAATTCTTCTTTCATATACCTAATGTAACACTGTAGCAAGAAGTCGAATAATTTTTATTTAAATTCAATACGATATTTAACATTTATTTTTCTGTTTTTTTTATATCTTAATAAACATGTGTTAATTTAACTGTGTATTGTTTCTTCTTTTTACTTGTTTGTGTGTGTTGCTCCAGAGTAGGCCATATTCACGTCCTGAGTGAGCTAGCCAGGGAGTGTTTCGTATAACGTCTAATGTAGCAATTTTGTAATTGATACATTAGGGGTTATGACGTTAAAAATTGGTCCCAACGAGAAACGATTTGTCACTCCAACGTTGTTAGTGATGTTAGTCAGGTTGTAGCAGCAAACTAGGGTTTGCGGTTACAGGTTGACAACAGCAGCTCAACGTTGGGATGTTACAAATTGAGCCTCGAAGGGTTACAAATTGGCACCCAATGAATATTTGTTGGCACGTCATAGATTGACGTCCAATGAATGTTCGTTGGAACGTTACAAAATTTCCAGAACATCAACCTTACAGTTCAAATTTTCCTAACACAGCTAATAATACGAAACTCATACGGAACTGCTCGATCTTTCAGAGGCGTCAACATGGTGTAATAATCAGAAAAATGTAATCATCATTATATTCGAAATTTTAGAATTATATTGATTAAATAACCAAAAACATTTGTTATTATTAATAATATAAATTTTATGAAATAACTCTTTAAGTCTAATATTCCACAAAATAATAATTGTAATTAAATATATTAGACAATTGTACGCAACTGATACGGAAATACTTCAAATTTTATTGACAGTTCAGCGTCAGTCAGCGTGTGGTAAAAGTGTATAAAGTGTTGCCGCTTTTTTAGAGTAGGAATGTTGTTTATGTTTTGATTTCTTACACAATTTGATCATAATATAATATATATTAATAAATTGTATTTATAAATACTAATTAAATTTAGATTAATAGCTTTAACTACTAATTACGATGAAGTAATTCTAAGAAGGTCTTGCGAAAACGCAAGAACAAGACCAAGACTGCAATACCAAGACCGATTTTGGGCAACACTAATTACAACAAAATGATAAAAATGATCTTGACACATAAAAACCCATACAAAAGAACTTGAATCCTTGACTTTGACGAGAGACAGTTTTACAAAATACTTACTATCAGCTAACATTAATTTAGGAACTACAAATTTGCCTCAAAATATTTTTATTATGTATAATAAACTTACTTTCACAAGTTGGTGGTGGAGTAGTCCAACCTTCATCAAAGCAAGCGCTAAATGCTGAACCAGAAATTGCATACTGCGGATCACAACTAAATGATATGATTGTGCTAAGACCTACTTTGGTGTTTGGTTGGATGTCTACTGTTTGCATGACTTCAACTTTGGAGTTTGGTTGAACTTTTTTCTTGACTTGAATGATCCATCGTCCATGTTCTGGATGAGGAGGTAATATACAACCACTAAAATTAAAAAAACATAAATACACTTATTAGACCGTCGGATTTTAGACTAAGTTCAACCATGAGTTTATCCCCTATGCCTTTCGATAGTACTGAAGGAAATGTGACAACTGTAGTGTTTCCTGGGTAACTTTTCGTGAAAATTGAATTTTCTTTTCTAAGAAAAAAATTCTTATGTAAAAATTTTTTCTCCATTTATACCATTTTACGAATCGATAGAGGAGTATTGATTCTATTTTTGGCATAAAAGACTACTAATGCCCTAAGGGTGTTAATTATAGCCTAAACATGTAATTCTTTTAAATCAATGTCACCCATTTTCTCCTTCATGCCACTTGAAAGTTTGTTAGTTTTCATGATAAGGAACCTGCAAAAAAAGGGGTCCTGTGTCCCCTTTCACGACCTGCAAACAGCAGGTCGTGAAAAAGAAAAGCACCCCTGCTCCATTTAAGGAACGCTCATACTCGGGGCCGTTGTATTTATCAGCAATTTCCATGATAATAAGAAAGTTAGGCTCTAGGTAGTTTTCCGTTGCCTTCTTAGAGTGTGTGGTAGAAGAAAATATAGTGACCCGTCTGCCTTCGGAAACTGAAATGTACCTAACCTACATTAATATTTGTGCAGCTCTGCGTGAAGATGTATGTGGATCTTCAATGAAACTTCGCATTAAATCTCAAGTTTTATTGCAATTTATAACCATTTTGGGTCTATCTGTTTGAATGCCATCTTTTGCTACCAGTTTACTCAAAGTGCTTTACAATTTTTTTTACCTTCCCCTTATGAATAGGAGAATATTTTGGGAAAGTATCGTAGAATAAGTTGGCTACTTTACTATAAGATCGATATAAGATTCACTTTTTCTATCGTCGTAGCTCCTCATCATTATAACTCTCATCATCTTTATTAAGGTTATGACGGGAAAGAAATCCTATTTAGCATGACTCGAAAAATCGAGACGGTTGTAGTAGCCTTGGGGTATACCGTAATATACATAATATGCATACATATACACTTATTATAATTTTATCTAATATATATAACTCGAAAATGACTGGATCGGTATGGCTTATTTTTATTTAAAATATTATTATTACTATTACTATTAAAAAAAAATACAAATTAAATAAAATTAAACGATATTTTAAAAAATATAAAAAATTTTAAAAAATTATAAACAATTATAAAAAATGGTAAGAATAAAATAAAATAAAATGAAATTAAGTTATAAAAAATTATGAAGAGTTATAAAGAATTATAAAAAATAAAAAAAACTATAAAAATTGTTCTGAAACGTCAATAAGCTCATTTTAACCTTCAATTGTGGCTTATTCCCAATAAAATAGTATCTAGCTACAATTTAAGTTTAAAATAAGTTTATTGGCGTTTTCATTTCCACTTCGGAAACCGTTCTCAAAATAAATTGGAAATTAAAACGTTAATAAACTTATTTTAAACTTCAATTGTGGCTAATTCCCATTAAAATAGTAATTAAATTATAAAACATAAAAAATTACAAAAAAGTATAAAAAATTATAAAAAATTATAAAAATAAATATTATAATAAATAAAATTACCTAATTAAAATTAAATAAAATTAAAAAAATTAAATAATATTCAATAAAATTACATAAAATAAATTAAATAAAATAAAATATTATAATTCAAATTAAATCAAAATAATTAAAATAAAAAAAATAAAAAATATATTAGGTAGGTATTATATTTAACAAATTTTTAAAATTACTTGTCATTAAACCAAATTTTTAAATCAAAAAAATTTATTTTTTAAATCTTAAAGAACTTAAATATGTAGTGTTATTATAAAAAATATTATCAAATCAGTAATAAACAGACATAAAATTTCAATAAGCTACATACACTGTGTGTCAGCCAAATTGAATAAATTAGCTAATAAATAAATGAGTGAGTATTCGAAAAAACGGTCGAACACGTCGATTAGTATTTATAGTTGCGCATTTTTTTCATAAAAACTTTTTATACGGGGTGTATCAGATAGCGGTGGGCAATACCAACTTGCGTATTTTAAATAGAACACCTTATATATTAATTAATTTTTAGATTCCTCAGATCATTTAAGATATTTTTTGAATATAATGTATTATACCTATCTTTGACTGTTTCGGAAATATTAAGTAAAATACAAAAAATTACATTTAGAAAAGAAAATTATCTATTTGCTGAAAGTCGCTACAACATATTCAAAATCTTCTAAATAATACAAATCTAAGCAATAAAGTCAGTGTAGAAGATGTTCAAAATGCTCCACACGAACGTCTTGGCAACACCATAACCGTGAATAGAAATTTCTTCTAACGTTACTTAACATCTTAGATGTGATCGATCTACTCGCAAGCATTATTTGTCTTCGTAAGTCAGCTTAGTCAGTGGGTTTAGTTTTGTATACAATACTTTTCACATATCCTCATAAGAAAAAGTCTAATGGCGTCAAATCGGGGGATCGTGGAGACCATTCCATCGATCCTCTCCTCCTTATTCACCGATTTCTAAATGTTTAGTTAATGTTACTGTCGGAAATGTAATTGGTAGTGGGGTGATGCTCCATCTTCTTGAAACCATATCAAATTCGCTAGTATTTGTGAGTTTCCTGGATCAGGATGCAAGTTGACCAACTTTGGCACTACATTATGTTGGAGCATTCAAATTTCCATCTATGAAAAAGGGACCTATGATCTGATATTCAATAATTCCTGCCCACACGTTAATCTTCTCATGATATTGGGATATATTCTTTTATGAAGTGAGGATTTTCCATGGACCAATAGCGGCAATTTTGCCGATTACCAAGACCGTGAAGAGTAAAGGTGCAGTCATCAGAAAACAAAATATGTTCTAATTGGGTCACATAGCTGTCTAACATTGCCACTATTTGTTCACAAAAATACGTTCTTCTGTCAAAATCATCTCCCATGAGCTCCTGAATGTGTATAATTTTGTAGGGATGCATTTTGTTTTCTTGTAATATTCGAATAACCGATGAATAGCTAATATCGAGTACAGGGGCTGCTTTTCGAACAGATGAATGTGGGTGTTCCTCAAACTCAAACATAACAACCAATTTGATATCCTTACTTATTGAATTGGCAGCTTCTTTTGTTACCTTCCTAACATGGCCCAGCTCGTGGAATTGCTTCTCTATTCTACTAATTGTCCTTTGAGATATGTGCGGCAAATCAGGAAATACTTCGTGAAATAAACAAGCTACTTCCATTTGCGTCCGTGTCTTATCTCCAAGGCCAATCAATCATCTGTATAATTGTAATTTTGTGCATTTCTGTTAAATGAACTATTTTTCTGGCTAGCGGTTAATGAAATTCAAACGACTATGGCACTGACAACTACTTCTGACATGGAACAATAAAAAATTGTCGCTTTAAACCAAAGTAAACAATTTTTGTTTTTTTTAACATATCAATAAAAAGGAAGGCTTAACTAGTGTTTATTTACTTTATCATTACCAAGACCTGAATGGACAAGAAGTATTAAGACAGTGGTAGCGACTTTCGACAAATAAATAATTTTCTTTTATAAATGTGAATGTTTGCATTTTACTTAATATTTCCGAAACAGTCAAAGATAGGTATAGGACATTGTATTCAGAAAATGTCTAAAATGATCTGAGGAATCTAAAAATTAATTAATATACAGGGTGTTCTATTTAAAATAAGCAAGTTGGTATTGGCCACCTTTATCTGATACACCTCGTATAAAACGTTTTTATGGAAAAAAATGCGCAACTATAAATACTAATCGACGTGTTCGACCGTTTTTTCGGATACTCCCTCATTTATGTATTAGCTAATTTATTCCATTTCGCTGACACACAGTGTATAGTAATACCACATTATAAGAAGTATTCACTTCTGTCAGCAAACTGATCACTTCCTATCTCATCTTCGCATTTTTGATATTATATCCCGTTGTGAAATGTAAATGATCTTCATCCCTATATCTGGCAATACCTTAAAATCTGTTGGATGGTCCGAATTGTACAAGAACTGGGATATGCTTATTCTGCAATATGAAGATATCAAATTTGATGCTTGCAATGTTGCCATTTTTACCATTTTACTGATATCGTTAGTCACTTTGGTTTTTTAAATAAAACACTCTGTATATTGTATTATTATTGGAACCCTGACTTCAATACGAGTTCAGACATAATATGTTTTTTTTTTTAACCTATTCTTTATCCTTCCATTGTTGGATATAGGTCTCTCCCAGTTCTCTCCATCTTTCCCTATCTTGAGCTGTTCTCTGCCATGTGGGACCTCCTTGTTTCCTGATGTCATCTTTCCACCTCATCTGTGGTCTGCCTCTTGATCTCTTTGCATTGTATGGACGCCACTTTCCGATGGCATTGTTCCATCGTCCGTCTTGGAGACGTTCATTGTGTCCAGCCCATTTCCATTTCAGTTTTGCTGCTTGTTCTATCGCGTCTACTGTCTTTGTTCTGGTTCTGATCCACTGGTTACGTTTTCTATCTCTAAGTGATACACCCAACATTTGTCTCTCCATCGCTCTTTATGCCTTCCTTATCCTATCCAAATTGGCCTGTGTAAATGTCCATGTCTGTGCTCCGTAGGTGAGCACCGGTATGATACAGGAGTTATATACCTTGCTTCGTAAGTATAGAGGGATTGTTTGATTATTTAGAACGTAAGAAAGTTTGCCGAACGCTGCCCATCCCATTCTTACTCGTCTCGATATTTCGGCTGTTTGATTTTCTCCATTAGCTCTGATTGCTTGTCCTAGATAGATATACTCATTTACCTGTTCTATTTTTTCTGTTTTTATTTTTATTGCCTCTTGGTCCTCCGTGTTTGTCATTACTTTTGTTTTGTTGAAGTTAATTTTTAGGCCTTTTTGCAGTGATTTTTTATGAAGTTCATTCAGCATTAATTCCAGTTCTTGTCGTTCCGAGGAGATCAGGAGTATATCATCCGCATATCTAAGGTGATTTAGGTATTTTCCGTTAATACATATTCCTTTGTTTTCCCAATCTGTTGATTTTATTATGTCTTCGAGGGTCAAGGTAAACAGTTTAGGTGAAATTATATCGCCTTGTCGGACTCCTCGTTTAACTTTTATATTATCCGTTATTAATTTGTCGTCCAGAATTACGGTCATGGTTGCGTTTTGGTAAATATCATGTATCAAGATAAATATCATGTCTCACACAAGGTAAATATCATGTCTCACATAATATGTAACACTGGATATTTTATTAGAGTCACGAAGTTCTTTAATAAAATGAGACTTCTCAGTACCAAATACTTTTGAAGTAATTCAGTAAATATAGAATGCTGTGATTTTGACATTAATTCATAAAACTAATACTAGCTTGACGTCCATTGAGAAAATTTGTAAAATAAATTGTAGTAAAAGCTAAAGCTGACAGTTGTTTTATGTGTTTTTAAAGGCTCTAAAATACGCTATACCGCAAGGTTACTACACCGGTCTCGATTTTTTGAGTCATGCTAAATAGGATTTCTGCCCTGTCAAAACATCGTACCGTGGTCTGACAGGTATTCACTTCAAAAAAAGACGAAAATGATGATAATCAAGAATAAACAAAACATTCCATTGCTTTTAACGATACATCCAAAAATGCGAGAACAGGTAACTTATTGGATATAAAATAAAATTATCGACATTACTAAATACTAGATAAAAAAATATTAAAATTAATTTAAATTACTTAAAAAATATAAACTTACGGTCCTACAGGTGCAACTGTTACCGGTGGTTTAACGGTAACGACTACAGGTGGCTTCGTTGTATTCTTTTGTGGGGTTCCACAATTACGTTCATCGGAGCCATCAATACAATCATTATTACCGTCACAAGGTGCGTAGCCAGGTACACAGGCGCCATAATCACAAACAAAAGTAAATCCAGGGCAGAACATGTTTGAGCAGGCTTGTTTAGTTTCATCTGATTTATCTTCACAATCGGCTATGCCGTTGCATTTGAGATCTCGGTGTATGCATTTACCATTACTACATTCAAACTGATTTGTTCTAAAACATAATAAATTAATAAAAAAAATTTGGACTGACAGGTTTTTAGGGCAATAATAATTATATGTAACAATAAAACACTGAAAACATTGTTTTCAAAACTTCCACAAAATTTATTATAATATCTTATCTTTACAGCTGTCGACAGGGTGCCTTTCTCATGTGATCTATTTTTGGTATGTGTTTATACTTTATAGTTTTTAACTGAATGGGTTGATGAGGAGACAACTGTTTGTCTCAAGTTGGTCATTCAGAATTATGTCTGTATTTTTTAATTTATTAATTTTCATAGATTCTAAAAAGATAACTTAAGGCATTATTTTGGATGTGAACAATTTGAAATTCGTCATTAAATAGATGATTATGATCCAGAAGGTGAAGTGCGTATGTAGAATCTGTTTTTCTATTAGTGAAAGCCCTTTTTATGCTCTGCTATACATTTGTTAAAAGTTCTACTAGTTTGACCGATGTAAGTTTTTGGGCAGTTGCCACATTAGTTTGTGAAATAAACTTTTGATTTTCTGCAGTATTGATTATTTCAATAACGACATCAATGACAAATGCAGAATCTGAAAGATGTTTTTCTATTTCGAAATTGAACAAGACGTTTCTAAGTAATACAATAGGGGAAGAGAGACTGACAGCAGCTAAGTTTGCCATGCCAATCGAAACCACTTTATTTGGAGACATTTTCGACTTCAACGAAAAGGTGATTGAAATGTTCATCTTCAATAAAATCAGAAGGATTGAATTTCGTTTTAAGAAGTAGGCTTTTGGTAAGTAACTATTTATTTTTTGGTATTCTCGGATAAGTGCTATTCTGAACAAAATTATCCGCAGCCGCCTCTGCATATAACATGTAAAATTTAGGAATTGATTACCGTTGCTTATTGTTAAAAGGTGAAGTGGCGATTTTGAACATTTGATTTAATAACCAAATAATTTTAATGTTTTCACTATAATATTTATGTTCAACGATAAATCTGAATTACTATTTGTCGATAAAACTTGATTTAGGTTTTCGAATGTGGGTTTTCACGTATATAGAATATTTTGTTTATATATATAATTATATATAAACACCACATAATATAAACACCATATAATTATAATACCACCCACATTCCAGAACTACGTAAATGGATATGATGCAGTTAATGACAGAATTATACATCTGAGACTAAAGTGCTCAAAATCCATTCTCCACAGCATACAAATATATGCCCCGACATCCACGGCAGAACAAGCAACACTAGAAGACTTTTATATGGCTCTCGAAGGTGTACTTGATAAAATACCAAACAAAGACATAGTGGTGATACTAGGCGACTTTAATGCCAAACTTGGAAGAACGAATCTAGATGACCACATGAAGATGATTGTAGGGCCATATGGTCTAGGAGATAGGAATGAGCGAGGAGACCGACTACTAGAATTCTGCAACCAAAGGAAATTTTCTGTAATGAACACGCATTTCAAACATCATCCGCGTAGACTCTATACCTGGAAATCACCTGGAGATAGAACAAGAAATCAAATAGACTTTATTCTGATCAGTTCGAGATGGAAGTCTTCAATTTCCAACGCAAAAACATTTCCAGGAGCAGAATGCGGAAGCGATCACCAGCTCTTGATGGCAGATTACAGAATGCGTTTCAAGAACATACGCAAAGCTTCTCCCCGTTCTTTTGGGCTAATGGACCCCGAATTAGCTACCTTTAAAGAGAGAATTGAACCAGCACTAACCAGAATAGGGAACAATCAGTCAGAACAAAGCGTGGATGAAGCCTGGACAGATATTAAAGAAACCATCGTAACAACAGTGAACCAATGTCGCCAAACTATCTATAAATAATAGCATTAAACCATGGATCAGCAGAAACACGTGGAAAGTGATTGAACAAAGAAAGCAACTTAAAGTTGGCCCCTGTGATCAACAGACATATAAAGCTCTCTCCAGAGATATTCAACGAAGATGCCGAAAAGACAAACAAGAATACATCTCTGAAATCTGCCAAGAAATAGAAAATCACGGATATCGAAATGAAACCAAAGACCTCTTCCGGAAAGTGAAAACTCTTGCGAGAGAATTTAAACCCAAGAACTATGCAATAGAGGACAAACATGGTATTATCATAAGTGATATCGACAGAGTGTTGGAAACATGGAAAAACTATTGTTCAGAGCTCTACAGGGAAGAACACGTAAATCTAGGCCACACTTCAGCCCTCGAAAACACTAAATACAACCCTGAACCTGAAATTCTGCTGTCCGAGATTGAAGAAGCTGTAACTCACCTCAAGAAGAATATCTCATCCTAATATACCGCCTCCCAAAACTCAAGGTGTAACACCATCGTGCCATAGGGGTGCATGGCCCAGGGGTTACATAGTGGACCACAAGCGATGCTTAAGGAAGATGGCGAACCCGAGGGGAAAATAGCCTTGGCGAGATAAGAGCGCACTGCCCCACTGGACCGATCAGCACGACTCAGCTCGTGGGAAGAAAGACGAGAAGAAAAAAGAAAAATAAAAAAGACTGAAGAGAGAAAGAAAGGGATGAAACTTGAGAGGAGAAAACCAAGCAAGAGGACAGAAACGACCAGTTCGGAGGAAGAAGGACAGTCACTTAACTACAATACCAGATCAAAGTTGGAGCGTCTCCAGGACAATGTTCAAGAATACATTTGTATCATAAGTACCTATATCCATAATTGTATAAGACACAAGTCACAAGTCACAAGTTTTGGTTTTGGTTGCATGATGTGACTGTATAGTCAGATAAGAAGATCGGTACTTTTCTGGTAGATAAATAAAACTTACAGTAAATTTTTTACACTATACTCTATACTTTATTACAGCTTTCAGGCTTTTTAGGGTTGTAAAAGAAGTTTAAATATTGCAGGTATCTCTGTTTACTAATGATAAACGAGAAACACAACAAAAAGGTTAGTCAGTTCGTTGCATTACCAATATTATGTACGATTGACTTAAATCACAATTACGATACAATTACTTTACAATTAAAAATTTGCAACATGATTCCATTTATTATTAGGTACTAGTAACGTAAAATGGACGTATTTTTTTGTTATAAAATTTCTAGAATACGCTAATAAAATGCATCATTTTATTTTCATTTTAATCAAAAAAGTAAATGCATACTTACTTGCAATTGGCAGATGGTGCGTCAGGACAATAAAGCTCATCTGAATTGTCTCTACAGTCTTGGACTCCATTACATTGTTTGTCTGGATCTATACAAGCACCATAATCACAGACATACAAATACCCAGGGCATCTGGAATTTGAATTATTTTTTTTAGATTATACAACTTATCTATTGAAGTTGTCAATATATAGGAAACTTTTTATTATAAATTTTATAAAAAAAGGTATTTTTTATAAAAAGTTCTGTATGATCTAAAACCTAACATGTAATATATCAAAATTTTTCAATCTTATACAACTTATGTAAAAAATATTATTGTCGCTCAAAAGTAATAGAAATCGCTCAGAAATAAACGGGAATAGAAAACTCCATGGTACGACGAAAGAGTGAAAGCACTAGCAAATGAAAAGAAACAAGCTTTCCCAACATACAAAGGAGTGAAGACTCCGGAGGCACGAGAAGACTACGTGAGAATCAGGAATAGAGTAAACCAAGAAATAGATAACATCAAAAAAGAACACTGGGAGAAATTTACCAAAGATATGGAATACCATCTCTATGGATCCCAGAAAAAGGTGTGGAAGATGATAACGAGACAAAAATCAGAAATGAATGACTTTGTACGCATAGATAACATTACGGAGGAACAATGGACTGAGAATTTCACGAAATATATGGAGAAGGAGAGGAAAAGAACAGAAAAATAATCATTAGCGAAACCGACGATAGAGTACTAATATCAGAAGAATAGCTTAAAGAACGAATAAAAAAATTTAAAAAACCGAAAAGCACCTGGTCGTGATAAGATAAATAATGAACTGCTAAAATATGGAGGGACAACACTACGCAAATGGCTCCTAAAATTATTCGTCGATATAATAAATACCAGAGTAGTACCAGTGGAATGGAAGGAAAGTCTCCTGCTACCGATACTTAAAAAGGGAGACTCGAGAAATCCTAAAAATTATAGAGGCATTAGTCTGATGAATAGTACATTCAAATTGTTAACGGCAGTCATAAAAGATAAAATCGAGGAAAAAGCCAACATGGCAGATGAACAACAAGGCTTTCGAAAGAAATGCAGCACAATAGACGCAATTTTTATTATCAGACAAATAATAATAAGTCTATTGAATATGGAAAACTACATTACATGTGCTTTGTAGATTTAAAAAGTGCTTTTGATAGGGTGAAGTGACATGACATCTTACAAATAGACCATCAGATGGACAAGGACAATTAATGAAATATATATATATATATATATATATATATATATATATATATATATATATTCGTATGAACTTTACACATTGCAGTTTTACATAAAGAAAAGGAAGAAAAAAGTGACAATAACAATAATAAATAAGTAAGTAAATAGGTAAACACTGACACAGAACATATAAAATTAAAATTTTTAAAATTAAAGTCGAAGGTTACATCCTCGAAGCCAATTTGTCGCCTTGGGAGTAAGTTGGTGAATTTCTTGAAGGCTGCCAAAGAACTTGGTGGCTGGATACTCGAAGACGATGTGGTTAATTGTTTGTTCAGCGGCGCTGCATTTGTCACATTCCGGGCTGGCATTTATACCCCATTGATTCAGCGATTTGTTACAAATTTCATGACCAACTCGTATTCTATTTAGGTTGCACCATTCACGACGGGGAAGAGAAAAGCCGTCTGGTTTGATTGTGGGGTTTTCTATCAGATTAGAATTTCTGATGTCTGGATTCCATTCGCCCATCCAGTGCTCTTCGGTAGTGAAAACAGCCAATTTTGTAGCAGTTCTAGTAGGTGGATGTCTGGATTTCAGTCTTAACTGCCTTTGGTGTAGTTCAGCGATGTCTGTGTTTATCGGTAGTTCTAAGTTTTGTTGGCATTTTTGAACTAGAGTGTTGAGTGCGGCTAGTCGTCTTGTTGCTGGTGGAGCGATGTTGCTTAAAACTGGAAGCCACTGGGTTGGCTTTATAGTTCCCGTTATGTGCCTCATTGTTTGATTTAACTGGGTATCTATGACTTTTGTGTGATGACTGTTTAGCCAGACAGGAGCGCAATATTCTGAAGTAGGATATACTAAGGACAGCGCGCTCGTTCTTATTACCTCTGCATTCGACCCCCATGATGTATTTGCTAACTTATGGATAATATTATTGCGGGTCTTAATTTTTGCTGAAGTGTTTTCCAAATGCTTTTTGAATTTAGGGTATGATCTAGAGTTACGCCGAGGTATTTTGGGTTAGCAATGTGCTTTAGCCTGGTTCCATCGCATTCTATGTTTAGTCTGTAATTTGCCTTGTTGTTGTTTAGATGGAAAGCTGTTACTTCAGTTTTCGATGTGTTTGGTTGTAGGCCCCATTAAAGTATCTGTTAACAGTGTTTAGATCTGCTTCTATGGTGGATTCGGCGATGTTTATGTCTTCTTCTTGGGCACCCAAAGCCATGTCATCGGCATAAATAAATTTGCGCGAGGTGGTAGTTGGTACATCTGACGTATAAATATTAAAAAGTAGAGGAGACATAACTGACCCTTGTGGCAAGCCGTTTTGCAGGTTTCTGAAGTTACTATTTTTCCCATTTAGGTGTACTTGGAAAAGTATGTCACTTAGCATTTGGTTTAACAACCTGTTGAACGCACGGTACGGTAACATCTGGTATATTTTATATAAAAGGCCCTCTTTCCACACTGTGTCGTAGGCGCAGGTCAAGTCTATGAATGCTGCTACTGTTTTCAGTTTCCTTTGGAATCCGTTCTCAATCAATGTTGTTAAGGAGAGGACTTGGTCGCCACAGCTTCTTCCCGCATGAATCCAGCTTGTTCTTTAGGAATATTTGACTTTGTAAAGTAAAATAGTCTCGTTTGGATTATCCTCTCGAAAATCTTGTAGCAGACGCTTAAAAGAGCGATTGGTCTGTAGCTCTCAGGTAATGCAGGGTCTTTCCCAGGTTTAGATATTGCGATGATCTTACTTTTTTTGAAGGATTTTGGAAACTTCTGCTTAGTTAGTATTTGATTGTAGAATTCAAGAAGCCACTTTCTGGCATTCGGACCAATGTGTTTTATAAATTCAGGATAAATGTTGTCAACTCCTGCGGCTTTACGACATTTCATTAATTTTAGAGCTTCCTCTGGTTCGATGAGCTTCATTATCGGTAGGCTTTGTTGTTAAGCAAGTTTGGCTTCTTTTAACTGAGATCGGACTTCTCTTTTATGATCTTTTTCTATTTCTGGTTTTGAAAGGTTGGCTATGATTTGGTAACTCCACGTGGAATGTGCTTTTTTGCACATCTAATCACTAGTGATCATTAATGAAATTAACAAGAACAACAAGACCAGAGTTATAATGCTAACAGGAAAAACAAAATGCATAGAACTAGAATGCATAGAAGGAATCCGCCAAGGAGACTCGCTCAGCCCATTGTTATTCAATATGGTGATGAATCAAATAATTCACGAAGTAAGAAAACGACAAGGATACCATATGGGAGCACATAAAATCACGATACTATGGTAAGCCGATGATGCAGTACTAATTGCTGATAACGAAGATGACCTACAAAGGCAGCTCCACACCTTCAATATCACAGCAAACAAACTTAATATGAGAATATCAGTAGAAAAAACTAAACGTATAGTGATCAGTAAAGAGCCGCGTAGATGCAAACTAGAAATAGACGGCAAAATTGTAGAACAATTGTAGAAATTCAATTACCTAAAAGTAGAGATCACTAGTGACAGATATATAAGAACAGAGACCACAAGGCAAGCATCAAAAGCGGCAATAGTAAGTGGTTGTCTCCGAGAAACCATATGGAGAAACAAATATCTGACCACGGAAAGCAAAATGGAAATAAAGTCAATAGTAAGACCAATTATATCATATGCAGTGGAGACAAGGACCGATACAAGAAAGACGAAATCAACAATATCAAAATGAAAGTATTAAGATCAATAGCGGGCATATCAATAAGAGACAGACAAACCAACAGAAGTATACGCGAACAATGCAAAAGTCAAAATATTAACAGGTGGATAAAAACAAGAAAAAAAAACTGGAACGAATATGTAAACCGAATGTAGCAGAAGACCCGTTGGAAGGCCGCCATAAAGGTGAAAAGATAAGGTACAGTCAACAATGACTGAAACTGAAATTTTACACATTTTTCCCAAATTACCGATACCGAACAATCATTTTTACTTAATATAAACGCGATAATCTGTCCGTTCTGTTTAAAAAATCAATACGCAAATTTTTACAAAACAAAATTTATTAAGCAATAAAACACTGAAAACTTTTGTTTTTAATACTTCCACAAATTTTATTATAATTTAATATCACTATAGCTGTTTCAGTAGAGTGCCTTTCTCAAGTGAGCTATTTTTGTTGCTCTTCTCATTGATGAGGGCTAGCCTGAAGTAATATCGGAATGTTTTACAGATATAGAATGGTTATAAATACGGTTGTAGATTCCTCTGTTATCTGTCCTATGTATCTCTGTGGGCAACTTGAACAATCTCGACACCACGATCTTCATTGACGATTTGGTCTTTTATGGATAGAACAAATGACAAGGAATGGCAAAGACGCTTCAGACTCAACTTCCATCGTGTTTTAAATACTGGGATGTATTCCATTCAGATGGGAGAGGAAGAGATCTAATGTATCTTTACCAAGGGCCCAGATGACAAAGGTTTCATCAACGTACGGTAACCAGCAGGTAGGTTTGAGATGACAAATAAGGATAAAGGCTATTGTTTCGAAATGTTCTATGTAGATATCGGCACTAAATACAGATAACTGAAAATAATCCTTCACCTCAAAGTATTCGGAAAGCGAGGAATTGGAAGAAGAAAAATATCATGGTTAAAAACTCGAGAAAATGGTTCTCCACAACAACAACAAATCTATTTAAAGCATCAGTTAATAAAATAATTAAAGCCAGAATTATCGCCAATATTCAAAACAAATAGACTCCAAAACAAGAAGATATCAGTTATTACGAGAGTGAGGGGGATCCCATTGAGACACCTTTGATTTGACGAAAAAAGTTCCATTTAATATAAATGATTTTGAAATGACACGTAGGTATATATTAGACATGCGGTATTTTATAAGAGATAATGTGTCTTGGGGATTTGATGTATAGTGTCCAAGATGGAAATAGTTTCAACAATAGGAATGTTGGTGAATAAAGAAACAATGTCAAAACTACCTAGTATATCGAGGTCTCAATATGAGGACAACCGGTCTTAACCTGTGTCGCCACGGTCGCCATGTTGTCGGCCGTCGTCGCCCGTAATTAAGCTGTTATTGGTTGTTGTTTCTTTATGGACAATATTAAAGTTTTCCCGGCTTATAAGTAAAATGCCATTTGATATCGTGTACCATTTCAGAGATTGGTATTTCACATCACGTTAACTGTTAAGTATTGTTTTAGTCAATCTTAACTTCGTAATATTATTCGAGAAGCATAAAAATCTGGACAGAAGAAAAAGTACGTAATCTTATCGAAGAATTTTGATCTTTGTTATGTAAAAAGTCTTTATTATGGTAGATTTCTGTACTTACTGTACTGCCGTTTTGCAATCTGAAAATTCATCACTACCATCTGGACAGTCTACCTTACCATTACATCTTTCTTCAGGTTTAATACATGTTCCCGATGTAGCACATACAAATCTGAAAAAAAAATGATAATCTATAAGAAAGTGAAGTAAGACGTGTTGTCATTTTGCAATAAATTTAAATTAAAGTATGATAATAATATTAAATATTAACGATATGTATTGCCGATATTATACAAAAAATATGGATGTACAACAAGAATATAACAACCTCCAACGATAATAAAAAAATTGCTTATGGAGTATTAGGAACAGGGAACAATGACAAAAAACACCACGAACCACCATGGATGACAGAAAACGTGTAAAGAAATGATACAAGAAAAAAACAAAATATATAAGAAATTGCTAACTAATAAAACATCTAGAAATAGAGTAACATATCAAAGGAAAAACGGAGAAGCAGTAGCGCACTAGAATTGTCCTCTGGGGGGTGGGTTTGGTTGGGCACCGAAATTTTTTTATGCTACCTCCACCATTTTAAGTCCTTCAATTTTCAATTTTATCCATCATTACCTCAGTAAACTCTAATCTACGACCAAAGTCATCTTCACTTAATTCTTGCAATAAGTTAATTTTGTATGATTTAAATTTATTTTTACGTAATAAACGTAAGACTGAAGAATGACCTACATCATGTACTTGTGCACCTGCCTGGGATGTATGTGGATCTTCAACAAAACTTTGCATATATCTGAAGTTTTGTTGTCATTGATAACTCGTTTCGGTCAACCTGATCGGTATCTATCTTTTACTTCTCCAGATTCCTCAAATCGCCTTACAGTTTTTTGTACCGTCGTCTTATGAATAGGGAAACGGTTTAGAGAACGGCATTTTAGAGAAGCAATTTAAATTGCAGAACTTTTTGAACCACAACTACTGTCAATTTTAGTTCATAAGTTAAATGGTGAACAAACGTCAAAATCACAGCATTCTCCATTTAAATATTTAAATTTATTAAAATCTACATATTTTGCACTGTTTTATGTATTTAAGATCTTTCAGACTTCATAAAATCAAGTGAACATATGGTTGAACTCGTATTGCATAGCTGAACTCGTGTGAAATTCACACTGAATGCGTGAAAACCATACTCAAAGACCACAAAAATTAAATGTATGGTCAGTTATAGTAGGTACTTATTTAATTTGGCCATTTTTTATCGAAACAAATTTAAACGTCAGATAGTTGGTGTAAATGTTCGGCGTTATATAGATGAGATATTTCCCGGACGATAAATTGGTAGACAAGGTAGAATTGAATGGTCTCCACGTTCATTCGATCTCAATCCTAAAGATTATTTTTGTTAGAGATACTTGAAAAATTCAGTTTACAAAACTTAACCAGCAAGTTTTGCATAGCTAAGGCAATGAATTATCGATGAATCTCGAATAATTTCTAGACAATCATGGAGAAATGTGGTAGACGCATTCTACATCGATTAGAGTGCTGTCAACTCACAAATGGAGCACATTTTGAACACTTAATAACGTAACTATTATGTTAAAAAATATTCTAAACTATCAATTGTTACATTTTAATGTATTTGAAAATAGTTAGTATTCAAAAATGTATCGAAACAATTTAGGCGTTGCCAGACTTCTGTTTTATGTATTTAAGACCTTCCAGACTACATAAAATCATAAGTGTTACATATGGTTGAACTCGTATTTAATAGGAGATTCCAATAGTGACTAACTATACAGGGTGATGCATTTGAAAAACCAAAGTTACTAGTAATATAAGAAAAACTGAAAATATGACAACATTGCAAATACCAAATATGGAATCTCCGTATCCCAAAATAGGCGTATCTCAAATTTTGTATAATTATGTCTAGTAATTTACGAGATAATTAGCCGTTTCCAGACTTTTGGGCCACTCTATATATTGATAAAATATATCAGGAAACCCCCACTAACAAGTATTTTTAAATAAATTATAAAAAACCAGATAAAAAAAACTATTAACCATGCTATAAATACGAGAAGAGGAAATATTTCTGTCCATTACTCAATCGACATATTTCAATGAAAGAAGTATCAAGTTAGGTACTAAGAAATAGTCACTTGATAGCCATATGAAGGCTATGCCCTAATTGTAGAATCGACAGTGATATTATGTATGATACGAGTGATTTGTATGACTATAAACCAATAACTATATATTGATATTACTTGATTAAAATTCGTGTGTTGCTTTTATAAAATCCAATAAGCTATCTTTAAACGAGGGTGTCTCAGGAACACACCTTAAATGTAATGGCAATAGTATTTTACAAATTCCAGTATATTGAAGGCAGTATATATCTGAATCAGATAGAAAAGTTTACTAAAGTTGTTTGTTTCTGTATTTGCTTTATAATTCTTGAAAATTATATTTCTTATTAACAGAAGTCACAATAAAAAACGTATAATATGAGCTGTGTAAAACACATAATATAAATTAAGTGTGCAAACGGATATAAAAAGAAAACAAAGCTATTATACATCTCAGACTTCAATCGGTTATTTACCGTGAAGGAAATTCCAGCAAAGTTTATGTTGTATACGTCAGTTAAATTCCATAATGCACCTGTATTAATTTTCGTAATTCTTACTACTAATTATGAAAAAACTTGTATAATATATTGTAATTAGAAGATTCGGAATATTTTAATACTTGGAGACAATTTACTCCAAAAATAATAAATATTAATGGTGGACTGACATACATGTAATCAGAACACGGAAACTGGTTTCGGAAATTTAGGAAACTACAGCACATTAATAGTTGGGTTAATCTTAATTAAAACAAACGAAATTTACTAGTAGTACTATTTAGTTTATCATCTTTTAGTTGTTATACCATGTGTAATTGGGATTTGGGTAGCAATTTCTCACTTTCCCCTGCATATTGCTGTCTTTAGTAGGGGAAAGGTGGGCATAGTGGCCACTGCGGGCATAGTGGTCACTGGTTGTTACTGCATAGTACGGTGTTGATATACAGCGACAGGCCCGTCAACTCTTTCACTTGAACGTTATCTTAGATGTCTTAAAGGTGTAAGCTGTTCTGATCATTTGTTTAAAATTTATTGAAAATGTTCGTGTTTTTCAACATCCTGATATAAGGTACGTATATTTAATTAATTATTACAAACAAACTTTCATTCGTAATACAGGCAAATGATAGTAACATCTTAAAAGAGGTGTATTTAGGCTACAAAACGATGTGTCTGAGTAACGCTCGATTCGTTTAGCCGGTAGTGTGGCATTTATATAATGGCGAAGAGGGCAAATTAGCCACGTCTGTTGCCACTATACTCGACATACAGTAAAATATATTTTTATTGAAAAACAATAGTATTGTATGTTGTTTACAAAACTATTGAGCATAATAGCGTGTGATTTATTTGAATTCTTTTTTTTTAATTACTATAGCTCATTTGCGCAGCCTTGCTTACCAACTGGCTGAACGAAATAACATCCCCCTGGTTTCAATAAAGAAACGAAATTAGCAGAAAAAGATTGGGTACCTGGGTTCAGAAAGCGTCATCCTGAGCTTGTGTTAAGAAAACCTGAGGCTAAGACTTAAAGTGCAAGGGCGCAACCATTTAACAAAACGAATGTAACTAAGTTTTTTGACATTTTGGAGGATGTTCAAAAACATCACTTGTATCGTCCTCATAGGGTTTACAATGTTGATGAAACTATACTTATGACTGTCCAGTCAAAGTCTTCAAAGGTTTTTGCTTTAAAAGGGTGATGGCAAGTCGGAACTCTTATATCTGCAGAGAGAGGTGCAGCAATTTGTAATTTCTATGTAAGCTGTGGGAGTTTTTATTCCTCCTTTTATCATCTTCCTTAGACAGTGGATGAAAGTGGAACTCAAGACGGCATTCCACCTGGAACAGCTTTTGTTTGTCATTCTTCAGGGTCGATGCAAAATGAGATGGTCACGCAATGGTTTGACTATTTTTTAATGTTTTTGAAGCCATCCACACAACTGTAGTCATTGCAACATTGCCCATTATAGTCATAAGCTGCAGCCACTCAATGTTTCTTCCATGAGGCCCTTCAATACCATTACAATTACTGACGCGGATTTTGCTGCAGTTATGAACACAGAAATTTCCGTTCAAGATTCTATCTCTCTTCCAGAAGCTAAAAATCACAAACTGGGCGTTGAATACCAAGAGGAAACTTCTACTGTGGTGCCAGGAAAAGATTTGGCAGATTCGCAACAAAATATTCCTCGACGTCAAGAGATACTACTGGCAAGTAAAGAGAACCCGCCTTCTGGAGAGATAGATTTTCGACCAGCAACCTCTGCATCCAACTCTTCAGTTCCTATGTTTTACAATGACCAGAGACAAAATGTCACTGTAGAATCTGGAGATTTTAAACTCTACTTTTGTTCTAATCTCTAAAGACTCGCCAAAGCCAAGTACTTCAACATTCCAGCCCAGTCCACTGCCTTGTTTCAGTACTTCATGTGATTTAATCAGCAACTTCCAACCAACAGAAAAAAGGGAAGCAGAGTATCAAGGGAAATGAAAGAAACAAAGAAAAATTTAAAGGAAAGCAGAAAACGAAATCAAAATCAGCGAAGCGTGCTTAATTTAATGACTCGAACAGTGAAGTGAGTTATACTGATTGCCTTTTCTGAGGGGACTTTTATTCCAAGTCAAGGGAAAATGAAGGATGGATAAAGTATTCGGGCTGTTTATGATGGGCACATAAAGCTTGTGCTGGCTGTGAAGAAGAAGACAATTACTTTATTTGTGACGTTTGTAAATAAACTCGGTGTGAAAATTTCTTTTTCTACGATGGCAGTAATTGTTTTATTTTCAAAATACACTTTTATTTAGTATACAAATTCAGTTTAAATTTTGTATTTTACATCGGGCAAATAGGCCAGTTTTCCCCACCCTGCAGGGCAAAGAGGCGATTTGGTAGGTGTAGGATAAAAAATATGCATCTAACAAATTTACCGAGATAAAGTGAAAATTAAAATCTCCTTATATAGCTAGGATGTCGTATGTTAATATATAGTGTATTTCTTATTTATTTTCTT